TGAGAATGCTTCGTTTGTTCTATTTTCTAAATTCAATAAATCACAAGTAATCTCTATGAATATTTCCTATAATATACATACAGTCTTATCAGTAAATTATGTACAAAATAAGGTACATAAAGGCACAGATCCTCTTCGTAAGTCCGAATGACTTGAATGATCTGCTTAGCATATATTATTATTCTTTGTCAAAGCTCAGATTAAATTTCAATTTGGTAGAAACACCATATATACGTCGGTTTTTTCCAATTGGAATAAACTTTTTTAGCAACTGATGGAGTTCTAAGGGATTTAGTAGGCTATCTTTTATTTGTTTTTCTAGACAATTTTTTTCTCAATAATTGTCATTACAACGATCCCCACAAAATAGAGTATTGCGACTATAGTGTTGATTGAGAAAAGTCAACATACAGTCATAACACGTTAATCACACATCGCCGCCTTTTTATTCTTTCAAAATGCAAAAATGCATCGCATCTTTAAGTCACGGAGTCTGCTATTTTTTTCGGTATTAATATGTAGTAAACATCTTTTTCTGATGAGGGAACGTTGCCAACTGATCCATTGCTTTTGACCCCATATCTTGACCATAATTAGGTATCTATATACTAGAAAAGCCCTAAGAGTATATGGGCTGATGTTGCAATTTGACTGAGATATTGAAATTTTACTCAAATTTCCTACCAGGACCTTCACTTTCCAGCAAAATTGTATTTTTGAATTTTGACCTGAAACTTTGCTTACATAAAGCTCTCAATTAAATTAGCTTAGGGAAAAAATTCAGAATTTTTGGATATAGTATTACTGAGATATGAATTTTTCAAAATATGGGCGCCTTTTCATAGATTTTGTAGAAAACATAAATATTTTGAAAAATTCATATCTTAGTGATACTATATCCAAAAATTCTGAATTTTTTTCCCTAAGCTAATCTAATTGAGGGCTTTATGTAGGTAAAGTTTCAGGGCAAAATTCGAAAATACAATTTTGCTGGAAAATAAGGGTCCTGGAAGGAAATTTGAGTAAAATTTCAATATTTCAGTCAAATCGTAATATCAGCCCATATACTCTTAGGGCTTTTCCAGTCTATAGATTGTCTACTTATGAGCAAAATATGGGGTCAAAAGCAATGGATCAGTAGGAAATGTTCTCTTGTGAGTAGCGGATGGATGGATCAAACGTTGTTCTATCGATGGTTTGACCAAATCTTCTTGAAACACACCAAAGATTTACCACGTCCACTACTACTAATTGTCGATGGCCACGGCAGTCATTTCGATGTACAAACACTCAAACTTGCTGTCAACAATGATGTGTATGTCATGAAATAAATACGTCTATACTTAAATTAAATCAACCTATTCACTTCATGAGAAAATATTTTTTACACTTTTTAGAATTATTCTTTGTCTACCATCCAATGCGACCCACATCCTTCAGCCGTTAGACATTGTATTTTTCAATTCATTGAAAATTCAATGGAAAAAGTAAGACAAAATATACTAAAAATAAAAGTCTTACAGTTTCTTTATAGTATTTTGAAAGATGAATATACTCATACACATTTCAAAACTATTAGTAAATCTCAATTTCCATCATTATTAAAGCGATTGTGGACACATGATCCTATTGGAACACAAACGAATTTAGTGAAAAGTTTTATAAAGGCTGGAATATTTCCTTTCAACCCGAATAGTATAGATCGTACACGTATTTTGAAAAACAAGACGAATGTTGATAAACGTATATCAAGTGTTCCTACTAATTCAGCACATGATAATCAAACAACAACAATTAATATTCCATCTTCTCATCAAGCAACTAATTCTTCATTTACTTCTTCTGATCAAACACCTAGTTCTTCATTTACTTCTGCTCATCAAGCAACTGCTTCTTCATTTACTTCTTCTCGTCAAGCAATTGCCACATTGGATCGAGTTTTGAAAGAAACACAATTGATTAATAGTGATATTGAAGATTTGAACGATGATGAAGATGAAAAATATTGTCCATCCGAATCAAGTTTTACGTTATCAATATCTGTTTCATCTGATAAACAACAAAAATCTCAATCAGATCAAACATTAATTACGAAAAATAATCGATCGATTCTATTACAACAAGAGAAAAAAAGAAAGAAAAATTCTTCGAGTATCATTGGTTTCGATACGTCGGAAGATGACGGTAATATTTTTAGTTAAGTTATGACTATTGTAGATTAAACTTTTTCTAGATGCTGAAAATTTGGATTTACCAAGGTCAACATCTCAACAATTATTCAGAACCAAACACGAACTTCAACCAAAAAAAGTCTTACCATCAAAACACCATCAAGCAACGTCGTCTGAAGAACAGAAAAAAAGAATGAAGTTAGCTTTCAAAACTGTTGGTTTCGATACATCAGATGAAGATGGTAATATTGATATATATATTATTAGTATCGTAAACAAACTTCTTTTCAGTAGATGTAGTACCAAATTTATCAACATCCAATCCTCAAACTTCGCTTCAAGCAATTACAGATGCGATACAAAACGTTTTTAGTACACCATCAAATAAAACATCAAAGCAACGTTCAAAACGTACAGTACTGAATAGATCTAATGGACAAATTATAACAGAAAAAATTGTGATTGAACAGCTTGAAGAACGAAAAAACAAACAAAAGTTCAAACGATCAGGTTCAAATAGTCGAATAACGAATGAAAAAAAACGAAAAAGACAACAGAAAAATGGTATGATAAATGAAAACCTTAACAACATGAGTATTTTCAAAAGGATGAGTTCTTAGAGCGATGAACTAAATTAGTTCTACTATTTTTTTTAACTATTGATAATCGTAAGGTCTCAGGATAATTAAAACATTCTAGATTCATCAATCACATTTGGTACAAATACTACAATGAGTTTTCGATCACCAAGTTCACCAATTGCTCCAATAGAATCTCAAATTTCCTTTAATTAATCATAATCTTCAATTAAATATGGTATGTTGATAGATTTAAACTTCTATGCAATCAAAACTAAATACATTTTACTCAGTAGTTTTGTCTAATTGCAGCTTTTTCAAGTTATTGTATATTAATAGGCGTTATCTAAACCTCTTTTCTATTGAAATTCAATTAGTCTTAATCGTTTAATACAACTGAATAATAAGATATTTCACATTTAACATATATTCCAAACTCAATACGAAAACTATTCACAATGTCCCTCAATTGTCGACATTCGATTTTATTTCACTCATCTCATCCAACATTCGATACTACTTTGTTTATTAATCAGGCAATATTCTGTTAATAATTGTTTAGTATTACTGATGCTTTTACTTTTATTCTCATCAAAAATTTACTTCTGCTTTTATACACTATGATTTGTGCCATTTTTTATGATTAACTCGATTTTTTAAATTTTTTTGTAATAGTGGAAAATGACATGTTATTCACATTTATCTTATTCAATGTAATTTTAGGTGATTTATCATATTATTTATAGGCAAAGTTGAATAAAATAAAGATTATATTATACAACGAAGTCTAATCGAATCAACAAATAGTAACAAAATTCAATAATGAACATGATGTTCTGTATTATTTTTCACTTCATCTTTTTGTAGCCCAAATGCTTTTAAATTTGATATAAGCTGGGAAAGACTGAGTTGATAAGGTTAGAAACGTCCACTCTATCTCGATTAGAATGATCTGGATTATGCAAAATAAAAAATAAGTCCGACCCGCATTGGCCCATCTATATTGGCTTATTGATCCGAATTACCCCAAATGCATTTTTCCATGATTGAGGGTGACTTCAGAGTTTTATTCAGTGTATCACGATAGTTTGTTCATTCACCGAAATATTTTCAGGTCCCACAGATAAGACTTTGGGCTATCAAATAATATGTTTTTTTTTCATATGAAAATGGATAAAAAAAAAGTTATGAGTTGGGGAAAAATTTTTCAGTCATTTTTGCTGGAGTGATCGGAATTACCCGGACAAGTTTGTATGACTGATCCGAATTACCCCAAATGGGGTAATTCAGATCAGCTCACCATGACCTTCACCATTTTCGCTGATACTTTTTTCTAATACATTCTTTTTCGAAGATTCTTTCGTCAATAGATAGAGGACACTTGGTTCTACTTATGGTCCAAAATTCAAACCTCTATTGCATAAAGTGAATGAGAACGAAAAAAAATAAAATGAAATTTTTTATTTTTGATCCGAATTACCCCGAACGACTCTATATTCTGAAAGAGAAGACTGGGGAATCTTTGTTTGATAAAAACTTGACCTCGGCTTTTCTTAAAAAAATCAAGCTTCTCTGAAGGGGCCCTTAAGGGGGGCTCCCTCATAAATCAACTTTGTTATTTCTCGTCCGATTTCAACCAAATATTTCAGAGAATATGAGCTTACGCTAGGATAGGCTATGGGCGAAATATCTCCCCCAAACCCCAGTATACTAATGAGTTACAGTCAATTTAGTGGTAAAAAGTACTCTGTAAGCGGGCAGGGTTTTCGCCTTGAGGACTGGGAGCTAAAAGGCCAGGGTCGTATCTAGGTTGTAGAGTGTCCTTAGGGCTAGGTCGTGACAGAGCCCGATTTTTGAATTTTCCTTCCTTTGGTTTTTAAAAATCTTTTTTTCAAAAATTCTTGAATTCATGACCAAAAACTCACTGATCAAAATGAAAGATCTACGGTGTTTATTTCAACAAAAGAGAAATTAAAAAGTCTGGCTCTGTCACGGCCTAGTCCTCCCTGTATACTATAGAATAAAAAAAATTATCACTTCTATATCGAGTCGTTATAAAGAAAAGCCTGCCCGCGTAAACGGTATGCTCGAAAAAAACGATTTTTAGAAAAACGCTAAATAAGTTTTAGAAATCGATTTTTGCGAAATATACACAAATTATACATCAACGTTTCGGACAGGCTATAAGTATGTAATCTTTATCTTAAGTATTAGTAGCCTCTTAGCGATCAATATAAAAAAGGCTTTATTCAACACTAATGCCAATGGAAAGAGAGTCTTTCAAAAACTGAAGAACTTTTAAAAAAAGCCGCGAAAAATTTTCGAAAAAAAATGATAGTAGGACCCAAGTTTCAGCCGATAAGTTCGTCAAAATCTATTCGTTTTGCGAAAAACCATATATATATTCTGAAAGAGGAGATCACGATGCATCTTCCTATGATAAAAACTCGACTTCGACGTTTCGTAGGAAAATTGGGTTTTCTGAGGGCGGCCCCCCTTAAGATCAATTTTTGTGGATTCGTATATTGTAAATAAGTATGTTTTGATCTATACTATCGAACACATGAATAAAGTCGAAAAGATGCTTGTTTTAACCTGTTTCAATTTGTTGAAATAAACACCGTAGATCTTTCATTTTGATCAGTGAGTTTTTGGTCATGAATTCAAGAATTTTTGAAAAAAAGATTTTTAAAAACCAAAGGA